ATCAGAGACCAACATGCCGTAGAATAAGCCACCAGTCTCTAAAATCAGCCCTTCACCCGCGAACAAGGGGTGATAACCTGGCCTGCATGGCCACTTACTCTTTCAATCTCAATTCACGTCTGTTCAGAGCCAGGTGAAAGACAACAGGTGGACTATTTTTACATCCTCTGCGAGACCTCAGCACCACTCCTTGAATTGCCTCTTCCTTCAGCTCCCCCATCAGTCTCCTTTGCCTAGTGAGTTTCGCTATGCATCCTTCACGCCTCAGCTGTCAAATGTCGCACATTCCTCAGGAAAACCTTCTTTGACTGCCGCAGACTCACTGCTCCTGAGTCACTTTTGTTTTTTTTTTTTTTGAGATGGAGTCTCGCTCTGTCGCTCAGACTGGAATGCAGTGGCACAATCTCGGCTCACTGTAACCTCTGCATTCCAGGTTCAAGCAATTCTCCTGCCTCAGCCTCCCAAGCAGCTGGGACTACAGGCACCCGCCACCACGCCCGGCTAATTTTTGTATTTTTAGTAGAGACGGTGTTTCACCAACTTGGCCAGGTTGGTCTTGAACTCCTGACCTCATGATCCACCCACCTCGGCCTCCCAAAGTGCTGAGATTACAGGCGTGAGCCACCGCACCCGGCCCCTAAGAGTCACTTTCACAGTGGCATGTACTCTACTCTGCAGCTCCAGGCTCCGCTGCAACTCCACAGTTACTTGTGGCTCATTATCAACTCACGTACAGTTCCCTCTTTGGCTCCATGAGGGCAGGGCCGAGAACTGTTTTCATTCACACGGTGCCTGGCATTCAGAGGCACTTCATAAATCCAACAGCATTTTGTTTTGGGGTGTTTTTTTTTTTTAGAAAAAGAAGAAAAGGAAGAGATGGCAATAGGAGAGTAGAAGGAAGGAAAAGGATAGGAGGGAGAGACAGATACAGACGAAGAAGAAAAATTAAAGAATTTGCAAATGCTAGGCTCTGCCACACATGGTCCTGTGGTGTCATCATGGAGAGGTAAGCCTGGGGGACCCCCAACCCAATCGCAGAGGGCTGGCCCCAAGGGAGGGTAGGCAAAGAATTGGTTTCTAGGGCCCAAAAACCTGCCAAGTGAAGAGGACATCCTTCTCTCCTTGTGGAGTGTCTTCCAGGCTATTCTTCCCTGAAGCCAACCACCCCACTCAACTCTGCCTTCCTCAAGAACCCAGAAGTGAAGGGCTGCACCCACTTGGTTGATACATGGAATCTGGGAACTAGAAGAGCCCTTAGAGATTACACAACCCAGTCCGCTGTGTACAGATGGGAATCGGAGGCCCCTGGTCAGTGGCAGGTCCAAGGCGGAAACCTAGGCCCCTCCCTCCCTGTACAGGGTTCTGCCATCCACACCAGGCTGCCTTCCCCAAGAACAGAGAGCCTCTGTGAGCTCAGAGTGTGGCTGGTTTAAGAGGCAGTGGCAAAAGCATCACATACTTGGGTCTCCGAAGCAGAACATCCTCAAACACGACCTCTCGGGGTTCCCGGGTCTGGGCTTGGAGCTCTTCCACCTCGGCCCTTAATACAGGCATGTTCTCCTCAAACTGGTCAATAAACTGAGAGGAAAGGCATAGCAGGGGAGAAGGAAGAAGCCAAACGCCCCCCAACCAAAGGGAGAAAGGTCAAAATGAACAAGGAGCAAAGCTATCTGGGGAAATGGTATGGGCTCTGTTACTGGGACTTGCTGGACTCCAGAGAGGGGACCTCCCCATGCAGGGTGGGGCTGGCTTCCAAGTGAGTGACAATATTCAGTGGTGCTGAAACAGGTGAGGGATCATGGAGAATGGAGACAGGTTACAAACTGGCGGAGAACGCTCAATTATGGGAATAAATGGAGGCTGGCAGAAATAGCGAAGGGCATGCACATTAAAAACCGATGAAGAGGCAAGATAATGAAAATTAATTCAAGAAGGCAGTGATGGTGGTTCATTAACACTGATAATGGGTGGTGGGCAGTGACAAGAAGCAAGGGGTAAAGATGCAAGGTGGCTAATGGCTGAATAGGTGATGCTTGATGATGTTGCAAATGGTTCATAGCCAGCGATGCAGGCTAACGAGGCAAGGCCTAGGTCGGTGCCAATCACCTTCCCAGATGAAAGACAAGTGACAGTAATGGCACCGGCAAGGATGCAGGCCAACACCAAAGTTAGAGACCTCCTGAGTGCCAGATCAGGAGAAGCCTGACCCATTCCCACAGGCTGTGGGGACTGCCCACCCACTGCTGCCCTACAGGGACCACCACCTTCCTCGCCCACGCACTTCTCTGAACCTTTGCATGCATTTCAGGAAGTCCTGGCTTTCCCATATCTTCTGTAGGAGAGCCTCCTCATAGGGACGCTGGGTTTTCTGTGGAGGAAGAAGAGGTCTGGCCCCCAGGTGCCTCTTCCTGGGCAGCAAAACATGGTAGAGAGCAATAGGGCTGCAGTGGGCCTGGAGGCAGAGGATGGGGAAGAAGAGGGGGTGGGAGTGGGACCTGGATCCCCCGCCTCCCACACAGCAACTGGCTACTCACTGCCACCACAGAACTCAGAATTTTTTTCTTCTTCTTCTGAATCTTGTCAGACAAGGATTCCAGGACCTTTCTGCGCATCTCACTGAGGTCATCCAGCTCATCCTGGGATCCAGCAGAAGGGTGTTGGCCACCAGCCCGGACTCCCACACAGTCTGGTGGGGGAGGGGCAGGGGGTCCCCCACCTGCTGACTGTCCTTATCCTGCTGCAGTTGGCGCACAAGGGTGGAGATCTGGACAGACTTGATGGAATACTCATGGTCCATGTAAGTGCTCAGGAAGTTCACTTCCTCCTGGGTCTTCTCAATCTTGGCATTCAGCTGCTCCGCCTGCTGCTCTAGAGCTGGGGAGGGGTTAGGGAGGTCGGTAGGGAGAGGAGGCAAGACCTTCCCTCAAGCACCTGGGCCCCAGGAGGCCCAGGAGGCAAGGTCTCCTTGGCCAATAACTGGGGTCTGGGCTGAGGCGAGCTCACACAGGGCAGGGAGGTGGTTCAAAGATAAGGCTCTAGAGGGTTTTCCACCCCTGCAGGAGAAGAGGCAATGCTGGGTAGGAAAAAGGAAGGGAATTGGTGCACGATCCCTAGACTAGTCCCCACTCTGCCACTGACTTGCAGTGTGGCCCTCACCAAGACTGTCCCTCTCCAGACTTCAGTCTCCTCAGAGACACACTCAAGGAAGTGAGACCAAGCAGATGGGGTGACAGTGGCTCCCAAGACACAACCCATGGCAGGATTAAGACAAAGTCTATCCTGTCTTCCTCCAGAGAGAGATCCCCAATGTCTGGGGTTGCCTGATCCACTGCCCCTCTGCTCAGCAGCTGTGTAGTCTGCTCAGGGAAAAGGAACCACAGGCCAGGCAGGATGGAAGCCAGGAGACCTAGGTTCTAGCCCAGCCACTGACTCCCAGAAGGACCTTGGCAGGAAACGGAGCCAGGCTAGAGTTGGATCCTGGCTCCCAGCTATAAAACCTTCCACAAGCTACTTCACCTCTCTTAGTCTCAGTTTCCTCCCCTGTAAAAAGGACAGCTTCCCTGCCTCCAGGTAGTTGCAATGACTGGGTGTGTGCCTGTAACAATGCAGGCATTGGTAGAGACCCAGACATGGGGCCTGGAAAGACCTAAGTGCTGGGTAAGTAGGCTATTCGCTCTGTATCTTAGCCTTCCCATCTGCCTAGAAGAGAGACGATGGGGCTGAGGGTTTCTGAATGGCAAGTACAAGATGAATGCTGTGCTGCTAACTTCCCCAAGGTGCCACGGGGAGGGTCACGGAATTCGCCCAGGGATTCTTACAGCTCATCTTGCATTTCTTCTTTTCTTCCCACTCCTGAAACTCAGACTTCAATTGCTGCAGCCTCTTCTTGTTTGAATACTCCAAGATGTCGATGATGGTCTGTGGGAGGGGTGGGGTCAACTCACCCACAGGCTCTGCTGGCTCTCAGAAGCGGCCACCCAGCACTTCCTCAGAGGAGTCCCGAATCCCAACCTCACTCCCAGAAACCTGACCAGAGGCTAATCGGGACAATAACAGAGTCCACCCTTAGGATTGTTGTAAGGACTATATAAATACATACAGATCGCTTGCTATTACACGTAGAGGTGTTTGCAAATGCTGGTGGTGGTAGCAGCTACCTCTTGCACGGATACAATATGTGCCAAGTAAACCCCCTCTGGGACAGGTGCTATTGTGCCGCATTTCACAGAGCTCAGGGAGGCAAAGTTAACTCAAAGTCTCCTGGCCAGTGAGTGCTGGCGCGTTGGGATGAAACTCCCATCTCGGTCCTCTTGCAAAGCCCAGGTGAGGGGAGTGAAGTTGAAGAAATGCGTCTTCCAGTTGGAGGAAGCGGCATGTGCAATGGGCAGGGAAGGGCAGGAGAGGGCGCACGAGCACGTGGAGGGAGGGAAGGAGGGCGGGCGGATGCCGCGGACACTGCCGGCACCGAGGGCAGAGGCGCGGGTCTCACCGCTAGGATGTCCTGCTGCTGCAGCAGGGCCCGCACGTTCAGAGTCGTGCTGTTCTCCATGTCCTGGATGGTCTCGATCAGCTCCTCGTTGAGCTTGGTGAGGAAGTTCTCATGGCTTTGGAGCTCTCGCAGAGCGGTCCTCCCGTTCCTGAGCATCATCTGCGGGCGGAGGGAAGAGCAGAGAGGCGGCGCTGCGCCCTGCCCGGTCGGAGTCCCCAAAAGCCCGTGGACCACCGCCCCAACCCCGCCAGACTCCCGCCCCCTTGCGGCCTTCTGCTGGTAAATGCGGCCCAAGCTGGGCGGCGGTTCCCCATTGTCTGCGCCGCCCAGGAGCTCCGGGACTCTCCTCCCTTCGGAAACGCACGTGTACCCATCATTTCACATCCCTGAGGTGCGGGTGCATCTTACAGTTGGTGGCGTGTTACCATATAATCAACAAATACATTATTAGTGGGTAAATAAAGATGTGCCTTAATATCAATGGCTTCTCAGAATCAATGAAATATATAAATAATAATAAGGGCCGGGCAGGGTGGCTCACATCTGTAATTCCAGCACTCTGGGAGGCCAAGGCGGGCCGATCACGAGGTCAGGAGTTCGAGACCAGCCTGACCAACATGGTGAAACTCCGTCTCTACTAACAATACAAAACTTAGCCGAGCGTGGAGGCGCATGCCTGTAATCCCAGCTACTGGGGGTGCTGAGGCAGCAGAATCGCTTGAACCTGGAAGGCGGAGGTTGCAGTGAGCTGAGATTGTGCCACTGCACTCCAGCCTGGGTGACAGAGGAAGATTCCATCCCAACAATAGTAACAAACGCCCCAGGTAGGTAAGAAGGTGGCAGAGCGACCACCATGTCTGGAGGAGAAGCAGGGGAGGCAAAGTGGATGATAAACGTCAGCATTTCCTGGCAGGCCGTGGAGCTAATGAGTACTCTCATTTCACATAACAGCCCCCTATGGAACAAGGAGGGTCTGAGAGTTAAGTGACTCCCCTAAGATTACACCCAGCAGGTGCATAAAATCTATAGTAACAATAACAATTCCTGAGGGTCCTCTACATGCCAGGCCAGTTGCCATGCGTTGCTCCGCATGTGGCACATGGTATCGGTTCACCTGCCAACAGCTCTACGTTTACTAACTCTGTGTTGCTGATTAAGTGGAGGCTCAGAGAGTTTAATGACTTGCCCAGTGTCACACAGTCAAGAAGTGGCAGGGTTGGAACTGGAAAGCCAAACTTCTGAGTCCCAATGTCTGTCTTTCCACTATGCTAAAACAAGAACTGCGTAGCCTTAAAACTGCAAGGCATGGCTGAACCACGTAGTGACTAAGACTTGGATGTTGAACCTAGACACACCTTGGTTCAAATCCCAGCTCAGCCACTTACCATCTAAAAGAATCTGGGCAAGTTAGTTAATGTTTCAGAGCCTCCTTATATTCATTCTAAAGGTAAGGAAACTAATACCTGTTTTAGAGAACTGCCGTAAAATATAAATGAGATTGGACAGGTGCGGTGGCTCACGCCTGTAATCCCAACAATTTGGGAGGCCCAGGTGGGAGGATCACTCAAGGCCAGGAGTTCAAGACCAGCCTGGGCAACATAGTGAGACCTCATGTCTACAAAAAATAAACAAAATTAGCTGGGCGTGGTGGTGTACGCCCACAGTCCTAGCTACTCAGGAGGCTGAGGTGGGAGGAATGTTTGAGCCGAGAAGATCGAGGCTGCAGTGTTGAGATTGTGCCACCACACTCCAGCCCGGGTAACAGAGCAAGAACTTGTCTCAAAAAGTAAGTAAATAAATAAATAAAATTTTAAAAAAATTAAAATGTTAGCTGGGCATGGTGGTGTGCACCTATAGTCCTAGCTACTTGGGAGGCTGAGGCAGGAGGATCTCTTGAGCCCAGGAGTTTACTGCTGCAGTGAGCTATGATTGTGCCATTGCACTTCAGCCTAGGTGACAGAGCAAGACCCTGTCTTTAAAAAAAACAAAGAATAAATAAATAAATGAGATGAAATTTACAATCAAGCTGCTTAGTGAGAGTGCACTCATATGCACTCAGTGAACAACAGGTGATACTTCTGGCTCTAACCCTCTACCCCTGCCATAAATATTTGCTCTTTTATTTATTCCTGTTCTTCCTCATTTCTCTATCCTTTACTAAAAACTACCCCTTCCTACTCCTCAGCTCCTTTATTTCTCATATAACAGTAATCATGCCGATGTATTGAGTGCTTACTATGCGGCTGATACTGTGCTAAGCACTTCATATGCACTGCAGCACATCAGCACATCACCCTCACAGCAACCCTAAGAGATGGGCACTATTATTAGGCCAACTTTATAAAAGCGGACAGCACTCAGGCACAGTGGTTCACACCTGTAATCCCAGCACTTTGGAAGAGGAAGGTGGAAGGATTACTTGAGCCCAGGAATTAGAGCCTGGGCAACAAAGGGAGATCCCATCTCTACAAAAATTAGCTGGGCATGGTAGTGCATGCCCACAGTCCCAGCTACTCTCAGAGGCTGAGGTGGGAGGATCACTTGGGCTTGGAAAGTCCAGGCTGCAGTGAGCCATGATCATGCCACTGCACTCCAGCCTGGATGACACAGCGAGACCCTGTCTCAATCAATCAATGTGGATACTAAGGATTAAATTCAGTGACTTATCCAAGGTCACACATAGCAGAGCTGTCATCCTTGAAGTCCAGGCTCCCAGCCACTCCACTATCTTGTCTCCACATCACCAGACCAAAATACCCAGAAGTATCTTGTGAAAAACATTACTCTCCAAGTCCTGGGCCCACTGAAACAGCAGCACTAGGGTTTCAGTTCAAATGTCACCCACCTTAGCAGCCTCTCATTAGCACCCTACCTAAAACAATTACTGCCACACTCTCCTCCGTGCCTCTAGTCCCCAACCTTATTCTTAGGCTTCTCTTTGGCTCTTATCATCACTTCAAATATCTTTCTCTTGTTGATTGTCAGTCTCCCCCATCCAATAGAATGTAAGTTCCCTAAGATCAGAGGCCACATCACTGGTGAATCCTCCCACTCAGAACAGAACCTGGCACATGGTAGGTGCTCAATCAATATTTGTTGATTCACTAAATGAATGAAAGATGGTAAGAGACAGTATTAAGAACTGGACTGGTTAGGAGCACAAGTTTTAGAGCCAAATTGTCCAGGTTCAGCTTTTATATCAATCAAAAACACATAAACCCCTCTAAAGTTAGGATAAAAATAACAGAAATGGCCAGGCACAGTGGCTCACACCTGTAATCCCAGAACTTTGGGAGGCCAAGGCGGGCAGATCACCTGAGGTCAGGAGTTGGAGACCAGCCTGGCCAACATGGTGAAACCCCGTCTCTACTAACAATACAAAAAATTAGCTGGGTGTGGTGGTGGGCACCTGTAATCCCAGCAACTCAGGCGGCTGAGGCAGGAGACTTGCTCAAACCTGGGAGGTGGAGGTTGCAGTGACCTGAGATCTTGCCACTGCACTCCAGCCTGGGCGACAGAGTGAAACTCTGTCTCAAAAAAAATAAAAATAACAGAAACATGAGTTCCTCCTTTAAGAATACTGGGCCACCTCTAAACCATTTTGCAAGATAAAAGGTTAAAGGGGAAAAAAAAGCTTCAAAGCAAATTATATTTTCCCTTGTTCTTTATATAGTAGTCATTGTTCATTGAGCTATTAGAAACTTTCTTGAAGAATTATTCTATAGTATTTTGTAGTCTTTATAATACTTAGTATTTTACTTTCTGCTATGTATGCTAAGGACTTGTTTTCCTTTAGGCATTTCAAATACTTTGAAACATTGTTCAGATAATTCCAGAAGTCATAAAACAATGTATAGCAAGGAAATTAATTACCTACAATTGTATCGATTGATGTGAAAATTTTAATTGTCAGTTTCTAAGGCTTGCTTCAAAGTACACTGTATGAAAGTTTAATTTACTGGAATTTTTGTTTTATTTTGTTTTTTTTTTTTGAATGGAGTCTCACTCTGTCCTCCAGGTTGGAGTGCAGTGGCACCATCTCAGCTCATTGCAACCTCTGCCTCCCAGGTTCAAGCGAGTCTCCTGCCTCAGCCTCCTGAGTAGCTGGAACTACAGGTGTGTGCCACCACACCCAGCTAATTTTTGTAGTTTGAGTAGAAATGGGGTTTTACCATGTTGGCCAGGCTGGTCTCGAACTCTGACCTCAAATGATCCACCCACCTAGACCTCCCAAAGTGCTGGGATTACAGGCATGAGCCACCACACCCAGCCAAGTTACTGGAAATTTTAAGATAAAGAAGCCACTAGATCCTGTTCCTAATGCAACAAAATAACAAGCAATTCTGATAATTTCTTGAGTCTTAAACAACAGCAAATGCTTTGTATAACTGGCTTTGACCCCTGATCCGGCCATTTCCTGACTGTGTGACCTGGTGCATGTCATTTATCTCCCTGCACCTCAGTTTCCCGGTTTGTAAAATAGGAACGAGGATAAGCGTGCTCGCATGGTTCCTGTGAGGAAGAAATGAGTCAAGTCTGACACCCACAAAGTTCTCAGCACATGTTTGCTAGAGCCATCATCCCCGTCCCCGCCCTGGGCCCAGTGTCCAGGGAAGATGTGCCTCATACCTTCATTAACCGGATTTTGGCCTGCATCTTCCCAGGGTCCAACTTCTGCCTTCTATGTAGTTCTCGTGGATTCTTCGGCTGGTAGCTTGTCACCACTCTAGTGGGCTTGGAGTGGAACACTAGGGGTAGACAGGAAAGGACAGGGAGAGAGTGAGGGTACAGGCAGGCCTGAGGCCAGGTTCCCGGGAGCGCACCTTTAATGAGAGGCAGGCCAGGCCCCAGCTCCACCCTCTGGCTGCCTTATAATGTGACACTAGACTGACAGTGAAATTCACACCCTTCATTAAGCTCCCAGGACCTACTCTGGGCCTCAATATAAGGGAGCGACAAGCCCATGTGAAAGAAGTAACTATGAGCATGGGCAGAGGGGAGGGCGGGGCAACCAGGAACCCCGCTCCCAACTGTCCAGTCAGAAAGAGAGTCAGGAACTCCCACTCCTTGTGTCTTTCCAGTAGCTGCTGCAGCACAGGACAGCAGAAAGACCAGAGTCTAGCAGGCCTGAATCCAAATCCCTGCTGTCCCACCAACCTGGCTGACAGAAGGCCTGATGGGGTAGGGGTTAAGAACAAGAACTAATGAGCCAGACAGTCTAAGTTTAAATCCAGGCTCTTGGCCAGGCAGGGTGGCTCACGCCTGTAATCTCAACACTTTGGGAGGCCAAGGCGGGAGGATCACCTGTGGTCAAGAGTTCAAGACGAGCCCCGCCAACATGGTGAAACCCTGTCTCTACTAAAAATACAACAAATTAGATGGACATAATGGTGGGCGCCTGTAATCCCAGCTACTTGGGAAGCTGAGGCAAGAGAATCGTTTGAACTCAGGAGGTGGAGGTTGCAGTGGTGCGAGATCACACTCCAGCCTGGGCGACAGACAGAGACTCCATCTTAAAAAATATATATATATAATCATAAAAATAAAATTTTTAAAAATCCAGGCTCTGCCTTCTATTAGCTGTGTGACCCTGAGCAAGTCAAATGACCTCTGTGTCCCTCCATTCGTCCACCTATAAAATGGGAATAATCATCATGCCTACCTCGTAGGGTCTTCATGAAGATGAAAGAAGAAGTTACTATACCTTAAAGGTATTCGGAATAGTGCCTGATGCATATTCAGTGCTGTATACACATTACCAGTTGTTACTCCTACTTCTGGTGACCTGAGAAGTGGGACCTCGACACCAGACAAAGGCACAGCGGCTATGCAAAACTCCAACTGGCTGTCTCTGAAACACTCTAAGAGCTGTGGTTCTGCCAGATAGGGAGTATAGGCATCTGGGGGGCATATTCTTAGAATCCCTGTTTCCTCTCCGCCTGTCATGCAATGACATGAGACAAATCACCCAGGTGGATCCAGCTCTACTCTCAGTCGCCACCGAAATCCCTGCTTCAGGTACAACCCAGCTCATCTGGGAAAGATATTAATCTCTTTAATAGATCAATGTCCTTCATCTTGAGAAATGGTGGCATTAACTATGGAGACGATTAAGTAAATTAATTTTGTGTTTAATTTATAAATTACCTGTACATATCCAGTTTTTAGTTGTATTGTATAAGAGATAGAATGATTAATAGGTTAATCTTGTGATTCTAATTTTACAAGTGTAAGTGGGATTTTGATTTAGATTTAACTTGAAAGGTTTAAGACACTCTTATTAAATATGTATAAATTACTTTTATTATTTAAGAGAACATAAGATTACCTATATTAATTTTTTTTTTTTTTTTTTGAGAAGGAGTCTGGCTCTGTTGCCCAGGCTGGAATTCAATGGCGAGATCTTAGCTCACTGCAACTTCTGCCTCCCAGGTTCAAGCAATTCTCCTGCCTCAGTCTCCCGAATAGCTGGGATAACAGGCGCCCACCACCACACCTAGCTAATTTTTTTATTTTCAGTAGAGACAGGGTTTCACCATGTTGGCCAGGCTGGTCTTGAACTCCTGACCTCAGGTGATTCAGCTGCCTCAGACTTCCAAAGTGCTGGGATTACAGGTGTGAGCCACCTCGACTGGTCAGATTACCCAAATTTAGAAGTTTAAGTATTAGATATATAAGAATTACATAAATACCCAATGGGTTTTTGTTAATCAGACAAGTGAACTATTTGAAAATGAAAATGAATATATTAAATTTTAAGATGTGGCTTAAAAGGTTTAGGAGAATTTAATTAACCAAGTTCCAAAACCCCCTTACAAGTATTTATAAAAATTGTAAGATTCTTAAGTTGAATTTAAACGCTTAAGGAAGATTTGCAGTTTTAATAATATTTATTTTCATTATTGGTAGTAGCCCTGATTTATCTTTTTTTAAAATTCAACCTTTTATTTCAAGATAGCTCAGATTCACAAGCAGTTTTAAGAAATAATACAGGCCGGGCGCGGTGGCTCAAGCCTGTAATCCCAGCACTTTGGGAGGCCGAGACGGGCGGATCACAAGGTCAGGAGATCGAGACCATCCTGGCTAACATGGTGAAATCCCGTCTCTACTAAAAATACAAAAAACTAGCCGGGCGAGGTGGCGGGCGCCTGTAGTCCCAGCTACTCAGGAGGCTGAGGCAGGAGAATGGCGTAAACCCAGGAGGCGGAGCTTGCAGTGAGCTGAGATCGCGCCACTGCACTCCAGCCTGGGTGACAGAGCGAGACTTCGTCTCAAAAAAAAAAAGAAAGAAATAATACAGAGGGGGCCGGGCGCAGTGGCTCACGCCTGTAATCCCAACACTTTGGGAGGCCGAGGCGGGCGGATCACAAGGTCAGGAGATCGAGACCAGCCTGGCAAATAAGGTGAAACCCTGTCTCTACTAAAAATACAAAAAACTAGCCGGGCGAGGTGGCGGGCCCCTGTAGTCCCAGCTACTTGGGAGGCTGAGGCAGGAGAATGGCGTAAACCCGGGAGGCGGAGCTTGCAGTGAGCTGAGATCGCGCCACTGCACTCCAGCCTGGGGGACAGAGCAAGACTCCGCCTCCAAAAAAAAAAAGAAAGAAAGAAAGAATACAGAGGGGCTGGCTGTGTGGCTCACATCTGTAATCCCAGCACTTCGGGAGGCTGAGACAGGTGGATCACCTCAGGTTACGAGTTTAAGACCAGCCTGACCAACATGGGGAAACCCCATCTCTACTAAAAATACAAAAAATAGCCAGGTGTGGCTGTGCACGCCTGTAATCCCAGCTACTTGGGAGGCTGAGGCAGGGCAATCGCTTGAACCTGGGAGTTGGAGGTTGCAGTGAGCTGAGATCACACCACTGCACTCCAGGCTGGGTGTGAAAGAGAGAGAGACTCTGTCTGAAAAAAAGGAAAGGGGAGGGGAGGGGAGGGGAGGGGAAGGAAAAGGAAAAGGAAAAGGAAAGGAAAAAGGAAAGGAAAGGAAACAGAGGGAGTCTATGTACCCTTTACCCAGTTTTTCCCAATGTCAACATCCTGCAAAAGTACAGTACAATATCACAACCAGGATATTGACATTAAGATGGGCAAGATATAGAACTTTTCCATAACCACAAGGATCCTGCCTATTGCCTTTTACAACCACACCTACTTCCCTCCCCTTACCACCCTCCTCACAACTCTGCCCTAACCCCTGCAATCACTAATCTGTTCTCCATTTCTATAATTTTGTGATTCCCAGAAGGTTATCTAAATGGAATCATCCAGTATGTAACTGTTGGGATTGACTTTTTTTTTTACTTGGCATAATTCTCTGGAGATTCATCCAAGTTGTTGAATATATCAGTAGTTCTTTCCTGTTTATTGCTATATAGTTTTCCATGGTATGGATGCACCATAGCTTGTTTAAACATTCACCCATTGAGGGACTTCAAGGTTGTTTCCAGTTCTGAGGTATTATGAACAGGGCTGCTATGAACATTCACATACTGGCTTTTGTGTGAATGTAAGTTTTCATTTCTCTGGAATAAATGCCCAAGAGTAAAACTGCTGGGTCGGATTACTAGGAAGTGCATGTTTAATGTTGTTAGAGACTGCCACACTCGTTTCCAGAGAGGCTGCATCATTTTACCTTTCCACCAGCAATTGCGCACAATCTGATTTCTCCTCTTTGCTAGCATTTGGTGCTATCACTATTTTTTCATTTTAGCCATTTCGACAGGTATGCAGTGATATCTCACTGTGGCTTCATCTGCATTACCCCAATGGCTAACGACGTTGAACATCTTTTTAATGTGCTTATTTGACATCTGTATATCTGCTTTGGTGAAATGTCTCTTCATGTCTTTTTCCCATTGCCTAACTGAATTGTCTGTTTCATTGTTGGGTTTTTAGTTACTGAGATATTCTACATAGTAGTCCTTTGTCAGATACATGGTTTGCAAATATTTTCTCCAAATCTATAGCTTGTCTTTTCGTCCTCTTAAAAAGGTCTTTCATAAGCCGGGTGCAGTGGCTCTCGCCTATAATCTCAGCACTTTGGGAGGCTGAGGCAGGCAGATTACTTGAGGTCATGAGTTCGAGACCAGCCTGTCTCTACTAAAAATACAAAAATTAGTCGGGCATGGTGGAACATGCCTGCAGTCCAGCTACTCGGGAGGCTGAGGCAGAAGAATCACTTGAACCCGGGAGGCAGAGTTTGCAGTGAGCTGCACTCCAGCCTGGGCAACAAAGCGAGACTCTTTCTCCAAAAAAAAAAAAAAAAAAGTTCTTTCACAGAACAAAATTTTTAATTTTGATGCAGTCCAATTCACCTATTTTTCTTTTCTGGGTCAAGCTTTTGGTGTGATATCTAAGAACTCCACTTGGTCCTAGGCCCCAAAGATTTTTCTCTCCTGTTTTCTTCTAAAAGTTTTTCAGTTTCACATTTTACATTTAATTTCTATTTTATTTTATCTTTGAGCTAATTTTTATATTTGTTGTTAAACTTAAATTTTTTGTTTTTGTTTTTGTTTTTGTTTTTTTGCCTATGGATGTCCGACTGCTCCAGCGCCACCCGTAGAAAAGGCTTTCTTCCTCCACTGAATTGTTTTTCCACTTTCTGAAAAACCCATTGGGAATATTTGTACGGATTTATTCCTGTTTTCTCACTGGGAAGTGCTGGCAGTGTCCAGCAGGGAGCTGATCCTTCATTCCCTGCTTGGTGGTGCTGATTCCACAACTGGGATAGTGCCGGCAGGAATGAGTGGAGAGGTCATCTTCTAATCCCTACCTGGCAGGAGAAGGTAGTGCTCTGACTCTCTCTCTAGGGTAGTGTCAACAGAGTCCGACAGTGACAAGATTTCATGAAGTGTCATGAGGTGGGACTGGTCACCTCTGGACTTCACTCCACTCCCCCAGCCTACCTATGTCAGTAGAGCCTGGTGGGAGCCTGAGCCTATATCCCTATCCAGCATCAGTGAGGTAAAATAAGGTGGTGAGATGCAGGGCAACTTGGCATTCTACTCTCCCATCTCCTTTTTGTGTTTCAGTGTTGCCCACAGGGGAGCTGATCTAACATTACTTACTCGGAGGCAATGAGGTGGTATGAGTGATTTTATACATAGGTGTATACGTAAGTATGCTATATTGTCTATGAAGTTCATTTCAGGATACCAAAGAAATATTACAAAATATTTGCTATTAATTCTTACAACAATCCTATGTGGTATTAGCGTCCCCATTTCACAAATGAGAAAACCAAGGCTCAGAGAGATGAATGATTTTTCCAAGTGAGTAAATGGCAGAGCCAAAATCTGACCCCATGTCTGCCTGAGCCTGACCCAAGGCCTCAGAATTCCCCTGTAAAGCATGATAATGATGTGGCAGAGATTATTCTATGAGTTCACCAAACCTTGTTTTCTTTTCTTCCTGGAAAAACAGAAGGACTACATTTCCCACCTTCCCTTGTGGTTAGCAGAGGTCATGTGGCTAAATTATGGCCCCTGAAACATGAGTAGGAGTAACATTTGTCACTTCAAATCTGGACCCCCCCCCAAAAAAAAATGCCCACATAATTGTCCGTGTTCTTGTTCTCTCTCTTCCCTCTATGCCAGCTGAATGCAAAAGTATCCAGCAGAAGATTTCGAGACCTTACAAAATATCAGACCCACAAGGTCAAAGGAACCTGGATCCCTGAATGACCATGTGGAACAGAATCCCTCCTTCCTCAGATCCACAAATGTACTGTGACATAAATGAGACATAAACTTCTATATCAATACTTGCAATTTGGGCATTGTTCATTATATCAGTTAGCCTACGCTAATATAAGTGGTGTCACCAAGAGCCAAGAGCAGCCACTCTATCCTGTCTCCAACCTCCACACCAGCTCCCAGCTGCCTCCACCTACCTGGTTGGACCCTAGTCAAAGTCTTCATTTTGCTTATATGAAGGCTGTTGGCTTGTTGGACTGGAGGCAGAGTAGATGGCTTGGTTTCCTGCTTGGACTGCTGCCATGGAACATAATCCTACAAAATATACAATCAGTCACATAGCACCATGAGTTCATATCCCAGCTCCACTCTTTTCAGATATCTGTAACTTCAAGCAAGTGACTTGACCTCCCTGAGCCTCGATTTTCTCATCTGTAAAGTGGATCTAATAATAAAACCTACTTCTGCCTGTTGGCACAAGAATTCCGAGAGATATTTATGAAGCATGTGGTAAGTGCTCCATAAATGTTAGCTATCACTTTTTTTTTTTTATCAGCCAGCCAGAATTTACTAAGCACATCCAGGCTGTGAGGTGCTAAGAACTGTGAGAAACAGAAGGCATGGAAAAGACGCAACATCCACCCTCAGGAAACCAGAGTAGCAATCAGATGAATAAGAGAGCAGCATAATACACCCTTACATTCTGATAAGACAGTGAGAGGAGAAAAATGAGGTTCTGAGGCTTGCTCTGGCTCCCACAGCAAAGTGTGTGACCCGGCTGGGACTGGAATTTGGGTCTCCAGTCTATATCCGTGGAGCAGTCACAACCGTCAGAGTGGAGGGCAGGTGGACTGCAGGGCCAGCGAGCCTCCCACCCCAGCCCTAGTCCCCCAAGACTCACCGAAACCTGGAACTCGTAGACTGTGGAGTGAGTCCCAGAGTGGTTGGGTCTGGAAAGAGTTGGGAAGGGAAAGAACTTCCATTATCCCCAGCCCAAGGGGCAGCAAGCAGCAACTCAAAACAGGATTGGAGTCTTGAACCAGAAACTGCAGTTCACCGGGTACAATAGCGCCGCGGGAGTGGGGTGGGGCCAAGGATATGTGGGCGGGGAGAGGGCGGGGTCAGAAGACTGAGGGCCGACCTCTAGGCGAGGGCGGCACAGCGGTGGGGTGTGAAGTACCCATGCGCATTCCGCCTTTCTTCCAATTTTTTTTTTTTTTTTTTTTTACCTACTTTTGTAAGACATGCGCCATTGGGGAAAATGGAAGAGAAGCTGCGAGTCTGTGAGACACTGATCTTCTAGAATAACTACTCGGCTTTTCCAACTTCCTTGCCTCAGTGTAGATCGCGCAGTAACCCGGGCCACTCAAAGGTCCGGAGACCCGATGCTTTCGCCAGCGTCTCGGTCTCCAAGGAAACGCGACGCCGGCTACCGAGCGCCTAGAGGGACTAACCTCTCAAGGCAAAATCTAGTTCGGCCCTCTTTTCAATTTTCAATTTCCCTTCAGTTTGCTCTGCCCATAATCCTAAAATATTATATCATATTTCTCCACTCTCATCAAACTTCCACCACTTCCTTCGCTATCTTCACTTTTGACTAATGAGTTTGCTTCCAATTTTACTAAGGAAATTTTTAGGAATCAGTAAACCCACTAGTTCACAGCACCATTTACTCGCCTACTTGCCTCCTTCCTGTAACTACGTATAAACTGCCTACTAAGACCAATTCCTACATTTGTGCACCGAATCCTATCCTCTCACATTTTCTCAAAGATATTGGCCGAGCAGTTCTCCCCGTTTTTTCCTCCTCTTTTCCCTCTCCTTTGTATCATCAGTATACCAACGTATTTTTAAATTTCTTCTATTTAAAAAGCTTCACCACAGCGGGACACGGTGGGTCACGCATATAAGCATGAGAGCACTTTGGGAGGCCAGAGGTGGGAAGATCGCTTGAGCCAGAAAGGTCCAGGCTGCCTTGCCGTGAGCCATGATCCAGCCACTGCATTCCAGCCTGGTTGACAGAGCAAGACCCTGTCTCTAAATAAACAAACAAACCACTTCCCCTCCAGCCAGCTCCCATGTCTGCTTCATTTTAAAGCAAAACTCCTAGGTTTGCCTATTCTGTTTCCCATTGTTTTCCCTCCACTTAATCAGGCTTTCACTCTCCACTGAAACTGCCCTCATCAACATCATTGGTGACCTCCACTTTGCTAAACCCTATAGTCACTTCTAGGTCCTCCCCTTATTTGGCCTGTCTGCAGCATTTGACACAACAGATCACTCCCTCCCCTGAAACACTTTCTTAGTATCCAGGAAACCACTCTTCAGTTGCTTCCTGCCTCCTTTTCAGTCTCCTTTGCTGATTCCTCCTCTTCTCCCTTTATTATTATAGTATCCCAGAACTCAGTCCCAGGCCCCTCTCTTCCAGTCTCATGGTTTTGAATACTATCTGTACCCAGATGCCTCTCAGACTCGTCTCCAGCCTCCCCCTGAATTCCAGTCATATAATAATGTGCAATATTTTTCCAGAAACATTTTTCCCAAACTCAAAATAGGGCAACTCTCTTCTTGGAATCATCCTTAACTCATCTCTCATCCCACGTCCATCAGCAGATCCTGTTGTAATAACTTCAACATATATCTGGAATAGGACCACACACACACATACACACACACACACACACACACACACACACATTCCTCTTTCCTTTTGTACCCCAACTAAAGTACTAGCTGCCACCCTTGCCCTACACACCAGATTTGCTAGATAGAGCAGGGATTTAAAAGTGAATTCCAGTTTAAAAGATAATTGGGAGGGAGCAATAATTTTAAATCACTTAAACTTCAATAGGGGAACATTACTATAGAATACCACGTCAGAGCTCCCAACCTTTTCTGCCTCTTAAAAATCACAGGAGAATGTGTTTAAGTGCACTGTGGTGGTAAATAGAAGCAGCTTCTAGGATAAAAAGCAATTAACCCGGGTACTCTGGCTATTCAGGCCCCTCCTGGCTGACCCTGGAGCTGAGGGAATCACTATATTGGGTACCCTCATTTGCAGAGCACACCATATGACAGCATTCTTGCTGGGAAACTCTGTACCAGGAAACCATTAAAAAGTAAAAGATAAAGGCTGGGTGCGGTGGCTCACACCCGTAATCCCAGCACTTTGGGAGGCCGAGGCGGACGGATCACCTGAGGTCAGAAGTTCGAGACCAGCCTGGCCAACATGATGAAACCCCATCTCTACTAAAAATACAAAATAGGATTAGCCAGGAGTGGTGGCAGGCGCCTGTAATCCCAGCTACTTGGGAGGCTGAGGCAGGAGAATCACTTGAAGCAGGGAGGCTGATGTTGCAGTGAGCCAAGATCGTGCCATGGCACTCCAGCCTGGGCAACAATAACGAAACTCCATCTCAAAAAAAAAAAAAAAGTAAAAGATAGGAATACATGACAGATCCAGGTAGTGACTTACTCAACAGCCATTCCTCCCTGTCATCACAGCTATTGGATCCTGATCTTGTCCATGTATGCACTTGCCTTAAGGGAGGCAGGCACCAGGCCCAACCCTAGTCCTAGTCCCAGCTTCCATAGTCATGACTGTTGAGACTGGGCTTGGTGGACCAATTTCCCTTTCCAGTTAGAGACCGAGTCATAGACACATGATGAAAGTCTGGCCAAGGAGACAGAATGAGAAATCTACTCAGAGGCTTTTGGGAAAGGTTTTCATCACACTTTTAAAAAAAGGCATTGCAGAAAAACATTCCTTCGTCTGCTGGTAGACATTGTCATATCTGTGTGGGATTCCTGGAATTGTGGAACTGTGAGGGGAGTTGGCCAAAGAGGATACACTGTGAATGGTAGAGAGGAAAATGTAAAAACCTTCTGCCTTGATAGCACTGTCGAGCCATTAAATTAACCAACCCTAGCTTGGCACAATAGCATCTGCCTATAATCCCAGCTACTTGGGAAGCTGAAGCAGGAGGATCGCTTGAGGCCAGGCATTTGAGATCAGTCTGGACAACATAATGAGACCACATCTCAGAAAAAAAAAAAAAAATTTTTTTTTGTTTTAATTAGCCAGATGTGATGATGTGCACCTGTAGTCTCAGCTACTTGGGAGGCTGTGGTGGGAGGATTGCTTGAGCCCATGAATTTGAGACTGCAGTGACCCATGATTGTGCCACTGCATGCCAGTCTGGGCAACAGAGTAAGATTCTGTCTCTATAAAAAATTAATTAATTAAATTAACCTGTCACCTATCTAGAAATTACTTGAGATTAAATAAGAAATCACATTACTGGGTGAGCAAATTTGAGTTGAGTTTTCTGGTACTTGCAGACCAAAAGCATTTTACTGAAATCTGCATCTAGAGGAACAACAAGATAGAAGGAACCTGGGTCCCTGACAACCTTGCAGGAGACAGTCACCTACCTGTCCTTACTGCCTGCCAAATTCCGAGCTGCTTCATCAAAGAGAAATAAACCTCCACCTTGTCTGAGACCCTGTATTTGAGAGTCCCTTTGTCACAGTATCTTAACCTGTACCTTGATTAATACAAATAAGAGCTTGTCCACTGTCACACAGCCTTCCTCATCAGACGTGCTGACCCCAGCATGGACACCCACTGAGAGCTGCCTTTGCCCCACATCTCAGGTGCTTAACCAGTAATATTACTGCCTCCCACTTCAATTTTTTTTTTCTTTTTTTGAGACAGAGTTTTGCTCTTGTTGCCCAGACTGGAGTGCAATGGCGTGATCTTGGCTCATCACAACCTCTGCCTCCCAGGCTCAAGCAATTCTCCTGCCTCAGCCTCCCGAGTAGCTGGGACTACAGGCATGCGCCACCACGCCTGGCTAATTTTGTATTTTTAGTTGAGACGGGGTTTCTCTATGTTGGTCAGGCTGGTCTCAAACTCCCAACTTCAGGTGACCCGCCTGCCTCGGCCTCCCAAAGTGCTAGGATTACAGGCGTGAGCCACCGCGCCTGGCCCCACTTCAAATTTTAAAATAAATACTCAAAGACATTTGCAAAAATGCTGCCACTTTAATCAAAGCCAAAACACACTTGAGGGGCCACCGACAATCACTTGTAACAAAACTGTTGGAACTGGGACTGAATAAGATGGGGTCCATTTGCACTTACACCTGTTCAGGTGGCATTTCTGTGTTCATGAACACCTGATGGAACTTCCTGCCCTCAGGATAGGTGGGCAAGACAAACCGGCCTTTCCTTCCTGCACGTGTGAGGTGATAAATGTGATAGAGGGCCTCTCAGGCCTGCTTGGCTACAGGCTCAGCAACAGCAACCTGGGCTCTCATTCCATCAGCATCTTGCTGAGAGGTGGACTGGGCTGAGCAGGCAATCTCAGGTTTCCATCCATGTCATTCGATGTGCTGACTGTGGCAAATGTGCACACCACCCTAAACCCACAATCCCTACTGTCGTCACCGGGTAAGATGCCATGGTTCTTGTGGAGACACCTGCTACACTCGACATAACAAGATCCTAGACATTCCTTCTTACCATCTGCGCAGCACTCCGGAGCTGCCTGCTCTTCCATCCTAAAACTCCCCAACTGAATTCACTGCTAGGCCCCAGCACACTGTTGTCTTCCCACTGTGCATGGATGCTGCTCTTCAGTTGTCCTTGTGCCCTCTTGCAATCCTATTCAGTCCTGATTGTGAGCACAATTTCATCCCGTAACTTGGAGGTGGCCAGGCCAACCTTGACTTTGCTGTTAAACATGGCTTCATGGGGGCTGTGGCAGATAACCTTGTGGTAAGTCGAGTTTTTCATCATCTGAATGAACTACAGATCCTGAAGCCAATGATGTGTGTCATTGGTCTGTATCCAGGTAGTCAGCATGTAGTGTGGGTACTGGGTTGAATAGTATTTCCAAAAAATGCATGCCATTCCCAGAACCTTATTTGGAAATAGGTTGTTGTTGCAGATGTAATTAGTTAAAATGAGGTCGTACTGGAGTGGGCCCTTAAAAGACTGGTGCCATTATGAGAAGAAGAGAAGACACACAGAGGCAGACACAGTGAGAATGCCTTGTGACGACACGGGCAGAGATTAGAGTGATGCATCTATAAGTCAAGGAATGCTGGCAACACCAGAAGCTAAGGGAAAGGCATGGAACAGATTTTCCCCTAGGGCCTTCAGAGAGAACATGGCCCTGCTGACACCTAGATTTCAGACTTTCAGCCTCTAGAACTGTGAGATAATAAATTCCTGTTGCTTTAAACCACTCAGTTTATAGCAGGGGTCCCCAACCTTTTTGGCACCAGGGACTGGTTTCACAGAAGATGATTTTTCCACGGACAGGGCTCGGGGGTGGTTTCGGGATGAAACTGTTCCACCTCAGATCATCAAGTATTAAATTCTCATTAGGAGCATGCAATCTAGATCC